TGAAAAAAGTGACAAAATATACCAATAGCCCAAGAAGAAGGCCAGAGGCCTGGTTTCTTTTCCACACACATACACACCCCCACACACAAAGATAAGCCAAAAAATATGGCTGAAAGTGATAAAGCAAGTATGAAGATCTCTATCCTCTCTGTGCCACCCTTCCTTACTATAAAACACGCTTGCCCATCTGTAAACAGAAATGGTGGGTGATGTGAGGAAAATGGGTACCTCTAACACCTAGGAGCTAGCTTTAAATAAATCCTTTTTACCCAAATATATGCTCTTCTTTGGTTTGGTCAGTGATAAGCAGACAAACTCGAGCCTATGAGCCTAAGTGGCTGGTAACACTTTGGGTGACCACAAAGCAACATTAATCCCTGCTCCTGAGAGCCATGCATCCTAGCAATCACTTGAGAGAGAGACTGCTTGCTCATGGCTAGCTCAACCTGCTGTTGGGACTCCAGGGGCATTTCAGCACCTTCCAGGGACACCTTTGAACCCTGAAAATTCTCCTTTTTTCCCCATCTGCTGTATCAGCTGCTTATAAATGCTTTTGTTGGCTTTTTTAAAAAAGCTTTTGGGCGCTCTGATCTAGTAAACTTAGAAGTTCCAGCTTCCATCTGATTCGGAGCTGATGGGCTCCGCCTGGTTTCCCCCACAAAGTGCACTCCAAGGATCCACTCTCTCCACAGTTTGGACCTCTCTTAGGCCATCCAGCAGTGGCATTTGGGTGAGGCAAGGACCTTGACTATTTGGGGCCATTCAGACCATTGCAGGTCATTTTGGTGTGAGAAGAGATTGATGTGACAAGAGATTCAGAGGTAAAGAAAAAACAATTCCAGAACTTCAGTTTCATTTGGTTTAGAATACTCCTTTGCTTTGGTCTGCTTTGATATGCTTTTATTTGCTTTTGTTTCTTTTATCTTTCTCTTCTTATAGCCACCTTTATTCTAGGATGAGCAGCAGGGTTTCATTCAGTACCATCTAAAATTATATAAGCCATTTGGGTTTCAGGTAGCTCTGAGGTTTCTTTGTGAGCCAATATAGAATTCAAGGTTCTTGAGCAATTTCTCCACATATAAAAAAACTTTGGATTAAAATTTTTAAAAGATTAAAAGAAAGCCTGCTGGTGTGTTTAAAAAGCTCTGTTATAAACTGCTCAAAAATGAAAATGCTGCTGGGCATGATCTTGCATCCCTGTAATCCCAGCACTTGGGAGGTTGAGGCAGGAGGATCACTGTGAGTACGAGGCCAGCCCAAACTACATAGTGAGACCCTGTCTCATAAAGCAAAAACCAAACAAGCAAACAAATGAAAATGCTTGTGCTACTTTGCAGCTTCCTAATAAAGTTTTACTTACCTGTAATTTAAAAGAGGTGATTTTATTGTGATACACTATATATATATATATGAAAGCACAGTGTGATTTCATAAGTGCTGCTTGTGTTTGCACTGCTCACCTCCTCTGCCCTAGGAGTGGTGGAGTGGCCTCAGGGAGCCTCCTCCTAGGCGCTGGGATTGGCTCACTTCCTCTGTCCTAGGAGGGGTGGAATGGTGGTGGGGAGCCTCCTCCTGGGTGCTGGTATTTGCTCACCTCCTCTGCCCTAGGAGTGATGGAGTGGAGTCAGTCTCTATTATTGATGTCCACACTTCAGCATCTAATACTAATGTACACAGAATGACATCAAAGCTAATAGAACATTTACTCTGTGGCTTCTAATACTAATTTAATATCCATACTCTAGCTCTGTTTTAGCAACATAATATCACAATATGGAGTCCTAATACTAATAAAACATTCACACAGTGGCTTCTTCATATGAATAAATTATCCACATACTGGCCTCTAATACTATGATAGTATCCTTACCATGGCCCTTTATTAATTACATACTATTTATTCTGTGACTTATAATATCCACACTGTGGACTTTTCAGGCTAATATAAACTAGCAGAATTTTTTTGGGGGGGGGACAGCATCTCACTATATAGTCTAGGTGCCCTGGAACTCAAGTCCTCTTCCCTTAGCCTCTCAAGTGTTTGGATTACAGATGTGTTCCACCACATTGGCTCCTAGTGGCATCTTAATATAATATCCACACTGTGGCCTTTAGTGGTCATTTAATGTCCACAGTGTGGCCTGTCATACTAATTTTATATCTATACACCAACCAATAGTACTAATATATCTTCTGTGTTCTCTGATACTAACAATATCTATGCAGTGCCCTCCAGTACTTATGTACAATAATACTCAGACATTGCCCTCAGATACTGATATACTATCCATACAGTGGTCTCTAAGTGTAATATCCACACTGTGACCACTTCATAATGTCATGATAATATTCAGAGAGTGGCATTTCTAATGTAATGTCCACACAATGGACCTTGAATATATAATTTCCAGATAGTGGCCACTACAGCTTGTATCTCAATGTTTCCCCAAAGCCTGGCACTGTAGGTGAGGCTTTTCAGAGCTGGCCAGATCTAGGGTGTGTGATACTGGGGTTAACAGTGTGTGGTACTACATTATTCCACTGATTGGAATTAGCAGAGTGCTGGGTGTGGCTGAATGGATTTACTTAAAACAGAAGCCCCACCATGGGTGTGGGTGGCACCACCCAAAAGGTGGGTAGTCTGGAGGGGATGAAAGGGAGAGGCAGGCTTGCTTCCTTCTTCTTGCCATGCTTTGAACTATTTCTCCTCTGCGATGCCCCTCTACCATGCTACCCTGACTTGTAACCAGCTGACTATGGACTGAAACCTCTACAAATTGTGAGCTGAAATAAACCTTTCCTTTTTTAACATTGGGTGTTGGATATTTTGTCTCAGCAATGAGAAAAGTAACTAAGGGAGTGGCATTTAAATTTAACAAAATATGCATACTTTGGTATTTCATATTATTATCATTCATTGTCATTCTAATTTCCATACAGAAGGACAATGGTTTTACAGCTCTGGGTGGACTGCATTTTGGTAGGGTTATTGTGACAGTTAAGGATTGAGTGGCACCTTGACTGGCTTTGAGATCTACCTAGAGGATTGGTGGAACACATTTCTTTGTGTCTCTGTGTCATGAACGTATAACTTTGATGTCTCTATGTCAGCCCTCACCACAACATCTTTGGCACTGTTCCCATGCTCTGCTTCTTTACCACCATGAAGTAAGAGGCTTTACTCAGTCACACACTTCCTCCATGATGTTGATTCTTTGAGGCCAGCCAACCATGGACTGAATCCTCCACAAATATGAGACAAATTGAACCTCCCCTTCTTC